TTTTTTTTCTTTTACTTGTCTATGGTCAATTTGAATTACAGTCGTGGTCAATATTATTGGGTTATTTTCATATTCTCTTCTACGGTGTGTATATTTCCATATCATAAAATGTATTGGGTTATTCACTAATGTGAGACTTTAAAGCAAATTCAAAGAGAATTTCAAATTAAGGATAGAGTAGCAAACTGAAAGCATAGCTGATTTTCCAATTTGCCTATTCTGAGTTTATATTTTAAATTTATTTTGAATTCACCTTACATTCTCAGTTTAATAATTAACCTTGATAATTTATTACACAATATCTATTTTCATAACCTAACAAAATATACACTTTGATATTTAAATCACAACCACAAACACTTCTACATCATATATAACTTGTCTGAGCAACCCCGCCAATGGTGAGTAGGGGTTCTGACCTACTGGTTAATGATCCACTATATTATTATTATTAATAATAATAATAACGTTTATTTACTTATGCAGAGATTGTAAATAATTGGCCTAAAATGTGCACTTTTCTTGTCAATTTTCCACAATCCAAAACTACAAATGAATGGATACCTGTTAAGAATGTATAATGATGTGCAAGTGACAATACAACTGATAGATGTTCTTATTATGAATTAGCAAACAAAGAAGCAAAGATAGGATGAGTCATGAACACAAATCTTATTTAAACATTTTCACTAAAGTGAGAATCATCTGGAATTCAAAATGAAAGTGAATGTTTAGTCAAATTGGCCAATCTGGATATTTTGGCCTTAAATTTAAACAAGATTTTTCACTAAAGTGAATTGAAAGTGAATTTCAATTTGTTGGCCAAAGTATCTAAACTGGAAGCGTAGCTGAATTAGAGATTTTTAAAATTCACCAATTTTAGCCATACATTTCAAATTCACTTTGAATTCACTTTGAATTCTCACTTTAGTAAATAACCCTGTTAAATTTACTTTGAATTCCTGACAAATCTCACTTCAATGAATAACCTTGTTTGGACATGGACTACTATTGCCAATACATGCAACTATTCTGAAAATACCATCTATAGGTAGGTCAGCAATACAGTGTATCAATAATTCTTGATTAATCATATTAGACATGTGCATGCCCAGCAGCTTTGCAAAAAAACGATTTAACATGCAAGGAAAAAAAAAATTACTATTTTGTGTCTAATCTATTTGTTGTGAAAAGTAATCACATTTTAAAAGAATATTACATAACCGAAATTGGAAAGGCTGAAGCAGGCACTGTTAACAATGTTGTTTCATAAGATTTAAAATGAAAAGTATTGACTGAAAATGTAACTGCAAAACAAATGCTATCCGTTTCTTTTGCATGGATGTGTGTGAATGTTTGAGTGTGGAGGTTTTAAAGCAGTTACACAGTCTGCAGCTTGTCAGCCCAAATGATGTGGTTTATTTGCAGCTTGTCAGGCCATTGTGGATTGCTGAGTGATTTGGGAGTTAAATCTTAACAGTAGCTGGAATGCCACACAGAATTCTAGAATTCAACAACTGCTGCACTATTATAGATTATAAATTGAACATATTTACTTACCATGATTAGGAAAGTTGTGGTTTCATTCAAAATCCAGTAGCCCATTTTTAAATATGACTGTTAAACTATAGTATCTTTTTACTGTAAAAGGTTTTTGGCACTTTGCTTCTGGTGTCTCTTGGTTCAAGTACTTTGAACTGTTGCATATCTTCTTCTTCTTGGAATTTTCTAATTAAAGCCCATCTGACAAAAGCACATCACCAGCCTGTCATGGTCATGTGATCAAGACAAACAAAAAGGTGGTCTATTCTCAATCATTCCTTTGAGAAAATGAGTCAGTTCTTACCAGTATTTATCTCAGCTGCTGTAAATGCTATTTACAGGGTTATTCACTAAGGTCTGAATTATGCAAAAAGTCAGAACCCTAAATTAAATCCAAATGGCAAAACTGAGGAAAAATAGCTGATCTTGAAAACTCCCAGCTTGGCTATTTTTGCATCAGTTCTAATGCACAGCGATTAAATTTAGTGAATAATCCTGGTTTACAAGTGTTATGTCGATAAAGTACAATTTTTAATAAGAGACTTCAAGGGGTTACATAGTTACATAGTTACATAGCTGAAAAGAGACTTGCATCCATCAAGTTCAGCCTTCCTCACATATGTTTTTGTTGTTGATCCAAAAGAAGGCAAAAAACCCAGTCTGAAGCGCTTCCAATTTTGCAACAAACTAGGAAAAAATTCCCTCTTGACCCCAAAAGAGCAGTCAGATGTCTCCTTGGATCAAGCAGCTATTACCCCACTAATTAGAAATGATATCCCTGTATGTTATGTTTTTGCAAGTATTTATCCAATAGCAGTTTAAACATCTGTATATATTCTGACAAAACCACCTCTTCAGGCAGAGAATTCCATATCCTTATTGCTCTTACTGTAAAAAAAACCCTTTTCTTTGCCTTAGATGAAATCTCCTTTCTTCCAGCCTAAATGTGTGACCGCATGTCCTATGTATAGCCCTGTTTATTAACTAAATAGCAAATTATTGTGAAAAGACATGCTAAAATCAACTATTGCACATAGTTATTGATAAAAGTGTGCATTGTTTGGAATTTAGAGCAAATTTAGAGCATTTAAAATAGCCAAACTCAAACATAGATGGGGTTCATTCACAAAACAGTGAATTTCAAAAATGCCCCCACCATATAGTAACAGATTGGCTGTGAAGCTTAAAAGAACACTCCCACCTACATAACAATTTTGGTTCATTCGCATTAATATGAGGACAGGAGTGTCTGGTGTCATCTTACCATCAGGAGTTAAACTGTTTTGCAAAAAAGTTTAACCCCAGAGTTGTCCCATCACAGAGGCCTTCTGGCTTTCTTCCTCTCTGCCTCTGGAGAATGCAGTGTGATAAGTGATAGGAAAAGGCTGACCCGCTTGTTATAAAGCTATGCCTATGAAAAGCAAAGTGCTTGTTAAAAAGGTATTTTGATTTATTTTTTGAGACTAAGATTAAAATTTATTTAAGTGAAGTTAGTTGATGACATACAGTGAGAGGAAAAAGTATTTGATCCCCTGCTGATTTTGAACGTTTGCCCACTGACAAAGAAATGATCAGTATAATTGTAATGGTAGGTGTATTTTAATAGTGAGAGACATAATAACAAAACAAAAAATCCAGAAAAACGCATGTCAAAAAAGTTATAAATTGATTTGCATGTCAATGAGTAAAATAAGTATTTGATCCCCTAGCAATCAGCAAGATTTCTGGCTTCCAGGTGTCTTTTATACTGGTAACGAGCTGAGATTAGGTGCACTCTCTTAAAGGGAGTGCTCCTAATCTCAGCTCGTTATCTGTATAAAAGACACCTGTCCACAGAAGCAATCAATTAACCAATCAGATACCAAACTCTCCACCATGGCCAAGATCAAAGAGTTGTCCAAGAATGTCAAGGACAAGATTGTAGTCCTACACATGGCTGGAATGGGCTACAAGACCATCGCCAAGCAGCTTGGTGAGAAGGTGACAATAGTTGGTGTGATTATTCAAAAATGAAAGAAACACAAAATAATTGTCAGTCTCCCTTGGTCTGGTGCTCCATGCACGATCTAACCTCGTGGGGTTTAAAGGATCATGAGAACGGTGAGAAATCAACCTAGAACTACATGGGAGGATCTTGTTAATGATCTCAAGGCAGCTGTGACCATAGTCACCAAGAAAACAATGGGTAATACACTAAGGTGTGAAGGACTGAAATCCCTCGCAAAGTCCCCCTGCTCAAGAAAGCACATGTACAGGCCTGTCTGACGTTTGCCAATGAACATATGAATGATTCAGAGGAGAACTGGGTGGAAGTGTTGTGGTCAGATGAGACCAAAATCAAGCTCTTTGGTATAAACTCAACTCGCCATGTTTGGAGAAGGAGGAATTCTGCCTATGACCCCAAGAATAACTTTCCCACCGTCAAACATGGAGGTGAATACATTATGCTTTGGGGATGTTTTTGTGATAAGGGGACAAGACAACTGCACCACATAAAAGGAATGATGGACAGGGCCATGTACTGTCAAATCTTGGGTGAGAACCTCCTTCCCTCAGCTAGGGCATTGAAAATGGGTCGCGGATGGGTATTCCAGCATGACAATGACCCAAAATACACAGCCAAGGCAACAAAGGAGTGGCTCAAGAAGAAGCACATTAAGGTCCTGGAGTGGCCTAGCCAGTCTCCAGATCTTAATCCCGTAGAAAATCTGTGGAGGGAGCTGAAGATTTCAGTTGCCAAATGTCAGCCTTGAAACCTTAATGACTTGGAGAGGATCTGCAAAGGGGAGTGGGACAAAATCCCTCCTGAGATGTGTGCAAACCTGGGGGCCAACTACAAGACATGTCTGACCTCTGCGATTGCCAACAAGGGTTTTGCCACCAAGTACTAAATCGAAGGGATCAAATACTTATTTCACTCATTGACATGCAAATCAATTTATAACTTTTTTGACATGCGTTTTTCCAGATTTTTCTTTTGTTATTCTGTCTCTAACTGTTAAAATACACCTACCATGGTACCAGAGACCGACAAAATACACCACAAACCCAGCTGTCGGCTCCCACACATAGCCGCATACACGCGTCCCACGCAGAGACAACAATGGGGTGAAAAAATTACAAATTCTGCCTTCTAGAGACACCCAAAATGCACGATATTTGGCTCTCATTTGCGAGGCCTACTCCACAGGCTCCCGGCAAGATGTGCCTGAGGCTACAAGCGAGGAGTAGGCCTTGGAAGACTCCCAGAAGGAAAAGGAAAGTTTTACCTCACTTCAGGCAGAAGCAGTGGCCCAATACCAAGACTCAGAGTCGGGTGAAGACTCATCCCCCGCGACAAAGAAGGACATACGAGAGCTTTCCCAAGATACAATGCAGGATATTACAGTGCAGGTCCAGAAACTCACACGGACGGTTACATAGCTGAAAGCACGTCAGAGACGACAATCGTGAAAGATATGACAACCCACTCCGCTATCATGTCTCGTTTAAGAAAGGTAGAAACAGTGCAATTAGAAGGGAGCAATGCGGCTCTGTATGGGGATATTTTGTTCGCAGCGCTTGTGGAACGGAGACAACTGGCACCAGTGGCCAAACGACTGAGGGAGGCAGGAATCAGATACAGGGATGGATCCCTGGCGCTACCGCGGGGAGAACAGACATTTACCATGTCTTCCACAGATGACATACAGTTGCTCCTCCAACAGCTGAACCTACAGGACACAGACATGGGCGACACCAGAGAAGGAGACAACCAGATGCAATACAAGCCCAAGAGCGTCCAGGGGCTGAAGAAAAGCTTCTACGTGCCGACTTCAACAAAGAGACACTCCTAGGCTCTATGAGGCAGTTGTCGCACTCCTCCTGGGGACCTCTCACAGCAGTACAGTTGCCGTGCAGTGACTAACAAACTTGGAGAACTTGATGCCACTGCTGAAGCATTTAGATCCACAATGTCATTGTGATATTTTACCTGTTGCTGTTTGATGATCACACAACTATATAATCATAGCCACGACTCACAACTGACTGTTATATAGCCATAATTGCAGCCCTCAATATATGATTGCAATCGTAAAATGTTTTACACTCATACTACGGCAAAGATATTTATTAATGTCGTACACTGTTCTTATTCTCATACCACAGAAAAGTGTATTGTGAGTATTTAAACTTTAATAAAATACAAATTTAAAAAAAAATCTAAATACACCTACTATTAAAATTATAGACTAATCATTTCTTTGTCAGTGGGTAAATGTTCAAAATCAGCAGGGGATCAAATATATTTTTCCCTCACTGTAATTCAGCAGCTATATTGGATTAAGCAATACTGAGTTATAAGAACAGTTTATACACACTATAAGAACAATACATTTTTAAACACTTTCGAAAGCATAGGTCCCCAACTAGGATTTACTGAAAGCAAAATCAAGCTTGCCGCTGTAAGTCAAAGATCATTTTACGTGTCTTCCTCCATACTCTGCTTATAGTTGGCAGTGGTTTATGGGAGTTTTTAACAGTTAGTGGCTGCAAAAATGCACCCCTATGCTGGACAAATGTACAATGCCTGACTGTTCATAGACACTATGTTAGTTCTATTTTAGATATTTATTCAAGGAATACTCCATGCACCACAAACACTACAGCAAGCATGTCAACCATGTGGCCCGCAGGACTGGACTGGAAGATGGCTTAAGGTAGAGGAAAAGGGGCTTTGGGGAACCTTCCTGTAGTGTAGTGTATTACATTTTGGGGGGCAATGTATTAAATTGGGGGGAGGGCAGTCGGGAGGTGGAGCGGTGTATTACAGCAAGGGGGCAGTTTTTTAAATTGGGGAAGGAGGTGGGGGCAGTGTACTAGAATAGTGGGAAGGGGGCAGTGTGTTAAATTGGTGGAAGGCAGTATTAAATTAGAGTGGTCTGAGTGGGGGCAGTGTATTAGAGTGGGGGAGGGAGCGGGGGCAGTGGCATGCTTGCACTACAGCATGCTGCACTGCCACTAAATGCTGTCGAGAGTGCCCTGGCAACACCAAAGTAAATAGTCCAACCATTTACTAAGCATCTGTCTTCTTATCTAGGGTCCATCACTTTCATTATAGGGAGCCGGAAGCTCGTCTATGGAGCTTCCATTAGCTTGCCCAAGCGAAGCCTTGCCGTGAAGGGTCAGATCATTGGCTGAGGAAGTTGGCTTCAGGCTCTCAGCTTCAGTCAGTGACTGCAATCTGGTGGACTACAGTTAAAAAGTCAAACCATTAGCAGATTGTTCGACAACTTATATTATAAGGGCGACAGTGCTCTCCTGGCACCATAAGCACTACAGCACTCTGTAATGTCTATGGTGCTTGGCATTGTTCCTTTAAATTAAACAAACATGAGTGAAGACTAAATAGTAAACAATATTACTGTTTCTTGTCTTGACATTTTTGCTAATATCTACACCGAATGTCCCACAGAATCCTTTATAAATAACTGGGAGAACTACATTTTGTATTTCAAAATTGTGGTTTGTCCTCGATTTATTAGTTGAAATTGAATTTTATACATTTTCCCTATTGATATTCTTTGCAAGTTATTCAACATTAACTATTTTGGGAGCAAAGTATAGCCTACTGTAAGTTAATCTAAGTCTTTTTAAAATTCCTTATACGTTTTTAATTAGGAGTTGATTTAAACAAAAACCTGTACCTCCTGAATGTGAACAATTATTTTTTTTCTCAATCTGTATTAATACCACAAGCTTAAAATAATATGATGGTTTAGTTTAAGGAAAAACTCTAATTTTGTTGATTAAATCACTGCTGGCTAATCAGCACATGAAGTGGATGTATGAAATTTGAAAGGTGTTTAAATCCTCATTAAATGGGGGGATATAGTTAATTATCTGAAGAAAGAACCAGAAGAAGTGGTTTTATTAGAAGAAGCTCATCACATAAATTGAAAACAGTGTGGGCTTGCTCTTGTTAAAAGTTTTAATTCTTTCTATATTAAAGTTTAATGTACAGTTCAAAGTGTTCAAGCCTTTATTAAATAAAGAATATTCTTTTTCACATGTAGAACATTATACTAGCCTTTGGAGGAGAGGCCTACTTGTCCACTTGATAATTTTCTGAGAAGCTACAAAATGTTCACTTTGCTCACATTTTCACTGAATTATTTCTTACAGGAAAATAAAATAAATTGTCTTGGATTTTCGAACGTGTGTGGACAATGTAATAGATAATGTTGCTCATGTGCCAGTGCCCATTGTTTCTGTTAGCTTACAAACTAATAATCATGTCCATATCTTAGCATAGCAAGTTGACATCTTACCTAGATTCTTACATGCTCAAAACAATCAAATAAGTAAGACAACAGTTATATCCCAACCGTGCTATGGAGGACAATCCCACTAAACTAACAGCACATTGCCAATGCAAGTGTTGACACAAAGGGTTAATTTGCTCAATATTATTTTTAATAATAAACATATACAAGTAAACAATTAGTGCATGACCAAAAAAAAATAGCAGAAACATGCCATCAATACAACAGGTGGCTATTTGCAGTTATCACTTGAAACGGTAATGGCATATCTTCAGTATTATAAATATATATATATATATATATATATATATATATATATATATATATATATAAAATATGTTATATACCGCATTTAATATAATATGTATATAAGTTAAAGGAACACTATAGTCACCTAAATTACTTTAGCTAAATAAAGCCGTTTTAGTGTACAGATCATTCTTCTGCAATTTCACTGCTCAATTCACTGTCATTTAGGAGTTAAATCACTTTGTTTCTGTTTATGCAGCCCTAGCCACACCTCCCCTGGCTATGACTGGCAGAGCCTGCATGAAAAAAAAAAACTGGTTTCACTTTCAAACAGATGTAATTTACCTTAAATAATTGTATCTCAATCTCTAAATTGAACTTTAATCACATACAGGAGGCTCTTGCAGGGTCTAGCAAGCTATTAACATAGCAGGGGATAAGAAAATATTAATTAAACATAACTTGCAATAAAGAAAGCCTAAATAGGGCTCTCTTTACAGGAAGTGTTTATGGAAGGCTGTGCAAGTCACATGCAGGGAGGTGTGACTAGGGTTCATAAACAAAGGGATTTAACTCCTAAATGGCAGAGGATTGAGCATTGAGGCTGCAGGGGCATGTTCTATACACCAAAACTGCTTCATTAAGCTAAAGTTGTTCAGGTGACTATAGTGTCCCTTTAACATAAAAATAAGCAAAATAGCAAAAACAGCTAAAACAAACAGAAATGCCATAACACTCTTTGCAGTACAGTACAAATATAATAATCTATTTTCCATATTATGACTTGAAAAAAAAATAGAAAGCAAATATTGCATGAGTATAAAATGCGAAATTTCAAATCATTAATTTCCTTCAAGTAAACAAACAAATTTAAAACTCTGTAAATCTTTAGTATAGTGCCCTTTGCAACATTTCTACCGGTAGGCTTTTTAGAGGGGGGCAATTTTAGAAATTTGTTAAATGAATAAAGAATTGCAGTAGCATTAAAAATAGTGCAGATAAAGAGACAACAGCTAGCGAACCTACAAGTGAGCACCAAGCATCGTAGTTCACATTTGGGAGGCTGTGGAGGTCCTGCAGTGGGTACAGAACTGTAGTCAACAAAGAAGATGCACTTAGGTAATGCAGCAAGTCAACAAACTAAATGCTTAACCCATTAAGGACTGAGACAGTTGCAAAAGTCCAGATCAAAACAAAATGTAAACCAAACCTTTTATTTGCGCTCATCCGTAATTCACCTCTTTCATATTAAATGCACCCACACTTATTATATATAATTTTGTTTAAGGGAAACAGAGA